GGCGCACGCCTTTAATCCCAGCACTTGGGAGGCAGAGGCAGGCAGATCTCTGTGAGTTTGAGGCCAGCCTGGTCTACAGCACGAGATCCAGGAAAGGCGCAAAGCTACACAGAGAAACCCTGTCTCGAAAAACCAAAAAAAAAAAAAGAAATCTGGAAAAGAGAAAATGGTAACAGATCTAAAAGCCATTAATAAGGTTATCCAGCTAATGGGCTCTTTACAGCCTGGAATTCCCTTGCCTTCTCTATTACCTAAATGATGGTCTATTATAATGATTGATTTAAAAAAAACTGCTTCCTTACCATGTAGTAGGACAGGCCCATAGGGTAAAGGAAATTGGCTCAAACCAGTTGCTAAGGCATGAACATAACATACTTCCTTATGAGCCAACCTGGAGTCTGCCTGAGGGCCTCACAACAAGTGCTGTCAGAGTTCCTGGCCACTGTCAGAGTTCCAGATGGTGCCCAGCCAATGAGGAGGGATGACCACAAAATGCCACCAGATTGGGACACAGCTTGGATACTGAAAGGAGGGTATATAAGGCCTTCCCCACTGTTGAATAAACAAGTTTGCTGTTTGCCTTCAACTGACTCCTGGTGTCTGTGTCGTTGACACCGCGCCTTCTCGCCCCCTCCCCCAAGGGAGTCATTGGTATCCAGCAACATTACTATACCTTTACATGAACAGGATAGAGAAAAATTTGCCTTCCCAACCTCTTAAAAGGTATCAGCGGAAAGTTCTTGAATAAGTGATATTAAACAGTCCCACCTTGCATAAATATTTTGTACAATAGCCATTGGAAATAATTAATAAATAGTTTCCTCAGTCTATAACTTACCATTATATGGATGATATCTTACTAGCTGATTCACACTCTGATAACTTAGAAAAAAATGTTTGAAGAGGTAAAGAAAATTTTGCCTTGTTGGGGATTACAAATTGCACCTGAAAAAATACAAAGAGATTCTATTAATTACCTAGGATATAAGATAGGTTTACAAAAAATTCAACCACAGAAAGTACAGATCAAGAGAGATCAATTACAAACTTTTAATGATTTTCAAAATTTGCTGGGAGACAGTAACTGACTATGGCACACAATTGGATCGACAACTCAAGAATTAAGTAATTTATTTCAAACTTTGCAAGGTGATAAGGACTTCAATAGTCTAAGAAATTATCAGCTGAGACTGAGAGAAAATTGGCTTTAGTAGAAGAGAAATTTATTTATTTTTATTTTATGTTTATGGATATATGCCTACATGCATATATGTGCACAGTGGGTTCCTTCAGAGGTAAGAAGAGTGCTTGGGGTCCCCTGGAACCAGAGTTAGGGATGATCGTGAACCACCATGTGGGTGCTGGGAATTGAACCCAGGTCCGCTGGAAGAGCAACAAGTGCTCTTAGCTACTGAGCCATCCCTCCAGCTCTTATTAGTAGAAGAGAAATTAAAGGACATACATGTGAATTGTTTGGATCCAGAGCTTGATTGTGTCCTGGTCATACTACTTTCTACTCATTCTCCTACAGGAACTCTCGTACAGAGAGAAGATAATATCTTAGAATGGATAATTTTACCACACAAACTGAGTAAAAAATGAAAGGCCTATGTAGAAAAGGTTTCTGAACTGATTCTGAAAGGAAAACTGAGACTTTGTCAATTATCAGGAATAGACCCAACCAAAACTGTGGTACCTATTGCTAATGATGAAACTGCATCACTATGGGCAGAAAATGAACATTGTCAAAGAGCTTGCAGTAATTTCTTGGGAGAGATTAACAACAAAAATCCCAAAAGTAAGAGACTTCAGTTTGTGGAAAGAATTAAATTGGATTCTTCCTCATATTGTATGGGAAAAACCAATTTCTGGAGCCCCTACATTTTATACTGATGAAAATAAATCAAGAAAAGCAGGTTATAAGTCAAGAAATTTAAGTAAAATGGCTCAAAGCCCTTATAATTCTGTTCAAAAGTCAGAATTATATGCCATTCTCATGGTATTATTAGATTTTCCCAAGAAAATTTTCATAAGAAACATGTTAACACCTAAGGTTTGAAGAAAGATTTTTCTATCACTTGGCAACAAGCCAAGGTAAATATAAGGAAATGTCCTACTTGTACTTTGTATAAACAAACTCCATTATCTGCAGGAAGTAACCCAAAGAGTACTCAAAGAAATGACATTTGGCAAATGGATATATTTCATTTTGCAGAGATTGGAAAATTAAAGTATGTGCACCATACCATAAATATATATTCAGGATTTCAATGGGCAAATGCTTGAGTTCTGAAAAGGCTGATTCTGTAATCATACATTTATAGAAGTTATGGCTATTATGGGGCTACCTGTACAAATTAAGACTGACAATACTCTAGCATATGTCTCTAGTAAAAAGAAACAGGTTTTTTTTTGTGCCAGGCGGTGGTGGCGCACGCCTTTAATCCCAGCACTCGGGAGGCAGAGCCAGGCGGATCTCTGTGAGTTCGAGGCCAGCCTGGGCTACCAAGTGAGTTCCAGGAAAGGCGCAAAGCTACACAGAGAAACCCTGTCTCAAAAAAAACAAAAAAAAAAACCAAAAAAAAAAAAAAAAGAAACAGTTTTTTGCATTTTACACTTTTTGTGTATTGCAATATAAAGCATATTACAGGTATACCATACAATCCTACAGGACAAGCATTTATAGAAAGATCTAATCGCACTTTAAAAGATATGCATGATAAACAGAAAGGAGTAATAAAGACCCCCAGACACAGAATACACAATGCTTTATCAACTTTAAACTTTTTAAATGCTAATGAGAAAGGAACAACAGATGCAGAGAGACAATGGATAGTAGAAAAAAAACCTGCTGGGCGGTGGTGGCGCACGCCTGTAATCCCAGCACTCGGGAGGCAGAGACAGGTGGATCTCTGTGAGTTCGAGGCCAGCCTGGTCTACAGAACTAGTCCAGGACAGGCTCCAAAGCTACAGAGAAACCCTGTCTCAAAAAACAAAAAACAAAACAAGCAAACAAACAAAAACCTGCTAAATTAAATCAGCCTGTATACTTTAAGGATGTGTTGACTTCAGAATGTTACACTGGGCAAGAGATTTTGCTTTTGTTTCCACAGGAAAAGAAAATCTGTGGATACCATCAAAATTGATAAAGATCAGATTTGAACAGGAGAGACCTCTTGATTAGGAGATGTGATAGTTCATCAAATAGTATGGTTTTTCAAATCTAAACTAACTTATAAGACTAACAAAAATGCCTTTCATGTGATCAGGTGATGGAGTCAGTGATGGAGCTGCAGTGGATACATGGAGGGTGATGGTGTCTGTGATGGAGCTGCAGTGGATACATGGAAGGTGATGGAGTCTGTGATGGAGCTGCAGTAGGGAATCCATGGGCCTGATTTGGAGTTGGGAAAATGTAAGCACCTGGCACAGTGACACTCAAGGGTGAAGAGTTCAGGGGAAGCCAGGGCTCTACAGAGATCCTGCCTGGAAGAGTTGAGGGAGGATGGAGTGAGGGAAAGAGGAAGAGAGGGAAGAAAAACTAGGGAAAGGAAGGGTGGAGGAGAGTGGAAAGAAAAAGAGGAGGTGGAGATAAGAAAGGAGATTCCAGACAGTTAGTGGCTCCACCCTTTAATCTCAGTACTTGGGAGGTAGAAGATACAGAATTCAAGGACATCTTCAACTACAGAGCTAGTTCAAAACCAACCTGGGCCACTTGAGACTGGTTGAAAGAAAGGAAGAAAGAAAGAAAGAAAGAGAGAGAGAGAGAGAGAGAGAGAGAGAGAGAGAGAGAGAGAGAGAAGGAAGGAAGGAAGGAAGGAAGGAAGGAAGGAAGGAAGGAAGGAAGGAAGGAAAGAAAGAAAGAAAGAAAGAAAGAAAGAAAGAAAGAAAGAAAGAAAGAAAGAAAGAAAGAAAGAAAGAAAGAAAGAAAGAAAAGGGTGGTGGTGTGGACATGACTCAATGGTTAAGAGCATCTCCTGCCCTTCCTTCCAGAGGACCCAGACTCATCACAACCACCTGTGATTTCAGCTCAGAGGATTCAACACCCTCTTCTGGCCTCCATGAGCACTGACACATAAGTAAAATAATCAAATAAATCTTTATTTAAAATGTGTGCTTGTGTGTGTGTGTGTGTGTGTGTGTGTGTGTGTGTGTGTGTGTTTTCCAGGCCTGCACCACCACCTCTAGCTCAAATCTAGCTTTCATCAGCAAGTAGAAGAATGAACTTGTGCATTCTTTCAATGCACTCCCCTCCCTACCCTTCCTAAATTGGGAAAGGCGCAGGGCAGATGGACACTCTCTCAAAGGACCGGAAGGACATTGTAGCAGTTTTTTAAGCAGTCTCGTTTTGCCCATGATTATTTTAGAAATCAACTCCTTAAGCAACCACTAAATGCCTCACTCACCCCCACTAACACACTAGACCGTGATGTTTGGTTCTTCTGAGCCACCGTTAGGAAACAGAACCAAATTTTTGCAAAAGTAACTGACTAAGTTCTGCTTCCCAGCAGAGCAGGGACCTGACTCCTCTGGAAGGGGCGGCCTCATGGAGACAGAAGGGGAAAGGTGGTACCCTTCGTACAATCTGAGTATCTCTTTAGAAGGACTGGAGATAGACATAAAGCCCAGAGTTTTGCACACCATCTCTGAGCTACACCTTCAGCCCACGAAGAATTTTTCTGATTCCTGAAGGATGTCATGTTTAGAACTTCATTTCTCTGCAGGCCCTCCCGAGTGTTGCAAGCTGTATTTTTGGGTGTGGGCACAGGACGCGGCCCTGAGAGGTTGCAGAACACAGTCTCCCCTCTCTGGCACTGCAGGGGAGTGTCCCAGGGGATTGGGAAGGACAGGGGCAGTCAGGCAAAGGTTAGGGAGGAAAAGAGTTAGGCAGAGGCCCAGAATGACTCCAGGAAATGTTTAGATTTCTCCACCAGGAGGGAGGGCAAACAAGCTTTTTTTTTTTTTTTCCCCTCAAGCTTTCTGGGCAGCTCTGAGCACTCTGCAGCAGGCTGTGGGGACGAAGACAGAAGCAGAAAAGAAAAATCATCCCCAGGGCTGGGGCCCGCCATTCCTCTGCAACATGCATCCCATCGGACCCCAGAGCTGCATCGCAGACATGCGCACGTATGGAAAACGGCTTGCACCTCCGAGCCTGGCCCAGCCGCAGGGGACATGGAGCTTGTGATCCAGGCTGCTGGGGGAAGAGAAAGGACCTGCTCCAGGCTTTCATTTCCTGGCTGAAGTTTCTCTTGTGGGGGTTAGCGTCTGCATCCCAGGGCGATGAGGTTAGAGGCCCGGCCGCTGGGGGAGTGGTAGCGTTCAGATAGGCGTCTGCGCCTTTGTGCCGGCCACCTGAGGACACGCGTCTGCTCTCCCGACTGCCATGGACAACGGGTCATGCTGTCTCATCGAGGGGGACCCCATCTCCCAGGTGATGCCACCGCTACTCATCCTGGCCTTCGTGCTCGGTGCCCTGGGCAACGGGATAGCGCTGTGTGGTTTCTGCTTTCACGTGAAGGCCTGGAAGCCAAGTACTATTTACCTTTTCAACTTGGCCGTGGCTGATTTTCTCCTCATGATCAGCCTGCCCTTACGGACAGACTATTACCTCAGGCATAGACACTGGATTTTTGGGGATATTCCCTGTCGCCTGGTCCTCTTCATGCTGGCCATGAATAGGGCCGGGAGCATCGTCTTCCTCACGGTGGTGGCTGCGGACAGGTATTTCAAAGTGGTCCACCCCCACCATACGATGAACGCCATATCCAGGCGGACAGCAGCCGCCACCACCTGTGTGCTCTGGACCTTGGTCATCCTGGGGACTGTGTATCTTCTCATGGAGAGTCACCTGTGTGCGCAGGAGACAGTGTCGTCTTGTGAGAGCTTCATCATGGAGTCCGCCAACGGGTGGCACGACATCATGTTCCAGCTGGAGTTCTTCCTGCCGCTAGCCGTCATCTTGTTTTGCTCCTTCCAAGTCGTCTGGAGCCTGAGACAGAGGCAGCAGCTGGCGGGACAGGCTCGAATAAAGAGGGCCACCAGGTTCATCATGGTGGTGGCTGCCGTGTTCATCACGTGCTACCTGCCCAGCGTGTTGGCCAGGCTCTACTTCCTCTGGACGGTGCCCTCCAGCGCCTGTGACCCCTCCGTCCACACAGCCCTCCACGTCACCCTCAGCTTCACCTACCTGAACAGCATGCTGGATCCTCTCGTCTATTATTTCTCAAGCCCCTCATTCTCCAAATTCTATACCAAGCTCAACATCTGCAGTCTGAGGCCCAAACGCCCAGGCCGCTCGAAGACACAGAGGTCAGAAGAGGTGCCAATTGCCACCCTCTGTCGTAAGTGTCCCATCGATGGGGCAAATAGCTCCCCAAAGGCCATCAGACGGGCAGTGGGATCTCCAAGTGTGTTCAATGGCACTAAGACAAACAGCCCAAGAGCAAGGCAGAAGGACGGGCAACTGTGAGTTAAATGGAGGGGGGACTTCAAAAATGTCACCACCCTGTCTCAGCTATGTCTTGCTCTTACTCAGATGGAAATGAAATCCACATCATTCAACCTTTTCTAGAAGGTGCTTGAAGTGAGTTGGTTGTGTTCAAGTACTCTGATTGCTATATGGTGAGGGGACGGGGTGTGTGTGTGTGTGTGTGTGTGTGTGTGTGTGTGTGTGTAGGAAAACGTGTGTTGGGTTAGGAACTGTTCAGAGCCTGCATCATTTTACTTGGCTGAGAAAAGAGGTGTGAGTGTTGCTGGGTCTTATTCTTGCTCTGAGAGAGTTAATGAACTTGATAACTTTGTCAGTATTTCCTGGACAGGAAAAAAAAAAAGAAACTGGACTAAGTCGATACACTTTTTTCCAGCTGAGCAGACTCTTTACATCAGGATGCTTGGTTCTGGCCGGTTTCTCATCTTCCCTGGGGAGCCACCATACATTTCCTTTTCAGTGTTTGGACTTCTAGGTAGCCCAGGAGGACAGCAAAAAAAAAATCTATTCCAACCTTCCAGCTCTGCATTTTTCTGATTTTAAGTGGTTTGGTTTTGCTTTGTTTGCATTTCAAAGACGCTGAGGGACACGTCTAACTGCTCTGGTTTCTCCAGAAGAAGCTGAGAGCCTGGGCCCTGAGGCCAGGAATCCTTATTGGGATGTGCCAGTTCAAGCATGGTTGCTTCTGACTGCTTGTGTATGCGTTGAAATCATTCACCGGGTGGTGGTGGCACACGCCTTTAATCCCAGCACTTGGGAGGCAGAGCCAGGCAGATCTCTGTAAGTTTGGGGCCAGCCTGGTCTACAGAGCGAGTTCCAGGATGGCCAGGGCTACACAGAGAAACCCTGTCTCGAAAAAAAAAAAAATCATTCATTCATTGATTCATTCATTCATTCTCAAGTCCTTATTGAATACATATTGCGTTGTTCAGCACCATCCTGTATCCTCATCTGTTTTGTCTTTGGTGCTGGGCATTGAACTCGGGGCCTTCCATGAGCTAGGCACTTCCACAGAGCTCCATTCCCAACCCCTTGAGGCCTCTTTGAGCTACAGCGCTGTTAGCCAATGCTAAAAAAAAATGTTCTTGGTCTACAGAGCGAGATCCAGGACAGGCACCAAAACTACATAGAAAAACCTTGTCTTGAAAAACAAAAAACAAACAAACAAAAAAGTTCCGGGGGCGGGGCGAGCAGAGACATTTCAGCTCCTCTCCCTTTTGTTGAACAGTGTCTAATCAATTATCGGGATCTCCCCCCTATTGTGGGCCTCCCTCTTGCACACGTGTTCTCCAAATACTACCTGGAACTCTCACAACTGGATGATTTTTGTGAACTGCAGGCTGCTCCTGTCCTGGAGAAAGGAAAAATAGGTCCTGTGTCAACCTTAGCTCCGCTTCCAAAGTGGTGACAGTCACTCTTCCGGTTTACACTTTCTCCAACTCCCAGGGTGCTCTCCCCGAGGCAGGGACCTTGACAACTTTCATGTCCTTAGCCTGAGACACTCCTCTAGGCTGTCCCTATGGCTTTCCTTGCCCGAGGTGTTTGTACAGCCTGGTAGCCAAAACTACGGTCTGGCTACAGGGCTGGGGAGATGGCTCAGGGTGTAAAGGGGCCCGCTGCCACGCTGACAACCTGAGCATCCCTGAGACCCATTCGGTGGAAGGAGAGGACCGGCCCCCAAAGCCTCTGTGTTCGTACACACACACACACACACACACACACACACACTTTATTAATTCAATAACAATTGTATTGGCTGCACAGTCAAGTGGATCTCAGTTTGATTCCTAGTTTAAATACTTATTAGATGTGTGCTCTTAGGGAAGATTTTATATCATCGTGTTCAGTTTTGATTCCTCCATTTGTCCAACAGGGGTAATACTGACTCCACAGGGTTTAGGGGCAGATTCAATGAATGTATAATCTTGAAGTACAAGAACTTTGTTACTGTTTTGTCCCAGGTGCCTAGAAGGAGACTACCTGCTTACCGTAGATGATAAATAAATACCTGTTGAATGACTATGTGCACGTAAAGTATGAGACCCTACATCTGGCTCCAAGTTTTCAATAATGACTTACGACACTACATGTGGTTTGTTGTTAAGCTCGAGGATAATTCCATTAAAGTTTAAAAGAAAAATTCCAGGGCAGGCAAGCTGTGAATCTCAGCAGAAGGAGGAGGAGGAAGAAAGGCATGGCTTTTCTCAACAGCTGCAGAGTGGATGAGCAGCCACACAGCAGGGAGAGGGCTTCAGGAAGAGTGGAAAGGTGCCCAGTGACAGGATGCTTAGGCTCTGGCCAGGTCGAAAGAAAGAGACAGAAAAAGAAAAGGGGAAAGCCGGGCGGTGGTGGAGCATGCCTTTAATCCCAGCACTCGGGAGACAGAGGCAGGCGGATCTCTGTGAGTTCAAGGCCAGCCTGGGCTACAGAGTGAGTTCCAGGAAAGGTGCAAAGCTACACAGAGAAACCCTGTCTCGAAAAACAAAACAAAAAAAAAAAGAAAGAAAGAAAAGGAAAAGGGGAATGCATGCCTTTGTGAGCCAGGACTGAGAATCTCATGGTGACTCTGTAGTGACTGACACATTAGCATGTGGTACATCTAAAATATGTATAAAGAAGCAGGGAGTCAAGAGCCCCTAAGCAGCCACTCCATTGCCACAACCTGCCTTCTGCCTCCTAGGGAGGAGTCCCGCCAAGAATTCTTACCAGCATCAAGGATCACATATCCTCTTTTTTTTCATGTTTTTATTATTATTATTATTATTATTGTTATTGTTATTTTGTTTTTGAGACAAGGCTTCACGGCATAGCCCTGGCCTGGAACTTGCTGGTCTTTTTTTTGTTTTTCTGAGACAAGTTTTCTCTGTGTCATCCTGACTGTCTTGCAACTCACTCTGTAGCCCAGGCTGGCCTTGAACTCAGAGATCTGCCTGCCTCTGCCTCCCGAGTGCTGGGATTAAGAGTGTGTGCCACCGCCGTCACCCGGCTAACTTGCTGGTCTTGAACTTGAGATCGTCCGGCCTCTGCCTTGTGATAAAAATCTGTGGAAACTGGGGCTGGAGAGATGGCTCGATGGTTAAGAACACTGACTGCTCTTCTAGAGGTCCTGAGTTCAATTCCCAGCAACCACATGGTGACTCACAACCACCTGTAATGAGATCTGGTGCCCTCTTCTGGCCTGCAGGGACACATGCAGGCAGAATACTGTATACATAATAAATAAATAAATCTTAAAAAAAAAAAAAAAATCTGTGGAAACTGGCTAGGGAGCTACTTCCATAAGTAAAGAGGCTACCAGCCAGTCACAAGACCTGAGTTCAGTCCGTAGAACTCATATATCAGCACAAGTTGGTAATCCCAGAGCTGGGGAGGCGGAGACAGGAGGGGAGGGGCTCACTGGCCAGATTACCTGAATGGGGGAGCCCTAGGTCTCTGTCTTAAAAACAAAACAACAACCAAAGTAAACAAGGCAGAGGCTGACAGGATGGCTCAGTGGGTAAAGGTGCTGGCCACCAAGGCTGACGCCCTGAGCTTGATCCCCCCAGGAACCTATGCAGGGGAAGGAGAGAAATGACTCCTACAAGTGTGTCTCTGACCTACACTTATGTGTTCACACATGCCTGTGCGCGCGCACAGGCGCGCACACACACACACACAATAAGTAAGTAAGTAAGTAAATAAATAAACAAACAAACAAGCAAACCATTTTTTAAAAGTCACTCCTGAGGCATGACACCAGGTGTTGATTTGCTTTCCACATACACTCACAGTGGAGTGCACACTCCTCCTACATGCAAAGAAAAAAAAAAAAAACCCTAGAAATCTGTGGGAAAATCCTGCTTTTTTTTTTTTTTTTTTTTTTGGTTTTTCGAGACAGGGTTTCTCTGTGTAGCTTTGCGCCTTTTCCTGGATCTCACTCTGTAGCCCAGGCTGGCCTCGAACTCACAGAGATCCGCCTGGCTCTGCCTCCCGAGTGCTGGGATTAAAGGCGTGCGCCACCACCGCCCGGCAAAATCCTGCTTTTAACTCTACCCTGGGGCGTAATTTTTCACTCTTTTGTTGCTTGACCCTAATTAAAAACGGATTTTGAAAGAAAGTGTGTCTCTTAAGTGTGACTCTTGCTCGGAAACCTTCTCTGATGTTGCCCTCCAAGAGAAGGAACTGAAGGCCCGATACTCAGAAGCCCACGGCAGGCCTGTGGACAGAGGTTCTCACCACAAAACAGCCAGAGCAAACCAGAAGCCAGGAAAATCAAACAAGACCTCAAGCCTAGCCTTGACATACTTTACATACACTTCCCTTTTGAAGCTGGCAGACTGTGACAAAAGTGTGTCTTACCAGAAAGCATTCTTTAGAACTGGTGAGAAGGAGGCGGGGGAGGGGGCAGGGGTGATGGCGTGGGTTGCTGTCTGGAATAAAAAACAATGTGTTTAAAGGAAATGATTTCCCTCTCCCGGGAAAGTCAATAGCCTAAAAGGATAATATGGAAGAAATGACAATTGTCCTTAATTGACGATGATAACGGAAATACGTGAGTTCTGGAATATCCTCAGAAAAGATGTTCTTAACCTATTTTATTCTATTTTTGAGACAGGGTGTCACTATGTAGACTGGCTGGGCTGGAACTCCTTATATAGACCAGGCTGGTCTTGAACTCACAGAGATCACTTGCCTTTACCTCTTGAGTGCCGGGATTAAAGGTGTTTGCTGGGGCTGAGAGACAGTTCTGTGGTTAAAAACACTGGCTGCATTTGCAGAGGATCTAGGTTCAGTTCCCAGCACCCACATGATGGCTCTCAACAGCCTATAACTCTAGTTCTGGGGGATCCAACCTCCTCCCCCGCCGCCTCCGCAGGGACTGCATGAATGTGGTACTCCTAAATGTAGGCAAAACACCAATACACAACACACAAACACATTAAAGAGCCAGGCGGTGGTGGTGCACGCCCTTAATCCCAGCACGCAGGAGGCAGAGCCAGGAGGATCTCTGTGAGTTCGAGGTCAGCCTGGTCTACAGAGTGAGATCCAGGACAGGCACCAAACCTACACAGAGAAACCCTGTCCTCGAAAAACCAAAAAAACAAAAGCAAAACAAAAAACAAAAAAAAAAAAAACCAAAAACCAAAAAACAAACAGAAACAAAAACAAAAAAAAAAACCAAATAAATTAAAAACATGTTTTTGGAAAAATCTTCACCACCATGCCTTCCCCTTTAATGAAAGGAAAAATGGTTATGGTGAGGTTTGAAGTCATGCATGCACACCGCTTGGAGGGATTAGATCTTTGGCACGTGAGGAGTTAAACCAGTTGTTAAAGCTTTTGTAAGAGAAACAGAGTGTGTTGCAAGGTCTGGCCTTGCTGGCTTTCTGGGCCTTCAGCTCCAAATCCGGTTCCAGAATGACGCAAGACCCCAGTCTCACAATAGGCTGCATCCATGGCTGCCGAGCAGACCCGGCAGTCTGCAGGGCATAATGCAAAATGGAAATTGTCGGGCCCCTACCCCTACTTTTTAAATTTTATTTATTTATTTTATTTTAATTTTTTGAGACAGGGTTTCTCTGTGTAGTTTTGGTGCCTGTCCTGGATCTCCCTTTGTAGACCAGGCTGGCCTCGAACTCACAGAGATCTGCGTGGCTCTGCCTCCCGAGTGCTGGGATCAAAGCTGTGCGCCACCACTGGCCGGCCTGGGCCCCTCTTTTTAAACAGCATTGAACAATCTCAAGATGGCATTAGGCATAGTGGCACATGCTTACGACCCCGGTGCTGGAGAGCAGAACTATGCACCAAATTCTGGATTAGATCCCCAGCCGCACATAAACTGGAAATGGAAGTGCATGTCTGAAATTCCACCGAGATCCTGTCTCAGAAAATGAAAACAGGAAGGAAAAATTCTTTTTTTCTCTCCCTCCCCTGCCTCACTGCGTTCATTACACACACACACACACACACACACACACACACACACACACACACACACGCATGTCCACTGCTTTATACCACAGATATGATCACATATACACCCTGGTCAGTATAACTAACGCCCTGTCTGCCCCTTCATTTCTCCGCTTCTGCTAAGTCTCCTTTATTAGAGCCCCAGGGCTGTCGGGTCTTCTACTAGCCACCTGTGCCTTCAACGTCATTTACAGTCTGCCGTGGGAGATCTTCCAAAATGTCCCCCGAGAATCTGTGCTTCCCGCCGCTTGATCCCAAGAGTGTCTCCGGTCTCAGTGGAAGATGAAACCTCGCTGTGACGTGGTTGGTAGGTAGGAGTGGTGGTCTGAGATTCCCAAGCCCAGCGTTAAGAAGGTCTGCCTGTGGACTTCTGGAAACCCCGAGAAGCCCACATGCAGGCCAGCCTATGCCATGTAGAGAAAACACATGACAGGGTCCCCGTGAAGAAGCCACACCGAGAAGCACACACCCATAGGAAGAAGGTGATGGACCCATGCATCTCGCTCGGTGTTGTCCTTGGCCATCAGTCAGGATCCATTGTCAGCTTGACTTCACTTACAGTCATCTACAGGGACCACACTTCTGGGTGTATCTGGGGGAATGTTCTCCGAGAGGGTAAACTGAGGAAGGGAAGACCCACCCTGAGTGTGGGCAGCTCCATTCTGTAGGCTGCAGTCTCACGCTGATAAAAAGGAGAAAACAACCTCGGATCCATCTCCTTCTGCTTCCCTCCCGACTGCAGACGTGTGGCGACTTCCTGCCTCACACTCACAGCGGCCGCACATCCCCACCATGCTGGGCTGTATCCCCTCAAACTGTGAGCCAAAACCAAACCAAACCTTGTGGTTGCTTTTATGTCGTGTATTTTGGCCCAGCAAGAAGAAAATTTAAGTCGTATCTCAGGTATCTAACTCTAGCCTAGGCACCAACTGAGAGCCCCCAAGGAGAGCAGGCCAGCTGAGTGCAGTCAACCCAGAGACCCTTGAAAGAACATGACAGTGGTAATAACAGCTACTGGGTTTGGTGGTGACTCGTTAATAGATATCTTGAACAGAAACCCAGGTTAGTAGAAGACCGACACACGGGGCTGGAGAGATGGCTCAGAGGTTAAGAGCACCGACTGCTCTTCCAGTTCCTGAGTTCAATTCCCAGCACCCACATGGTGGCTCACAGCCATCTGTAATGAGATCTGGCGCCCTCTTCTGTATACATAATAAATAAATAAATCTTTAAAAGAAGAAGGAGGAAGAAGAAGGAGGAGGAGGAGGAGGAGGAGGAGGAGGAGGAGGAGGAGGAGGAAGAAGAAGAAGAAGAAGAAGAAGAAGAAGAAGAAGAAGAAGAAGAAGAAGAAGACGACTGTGGTTCTCAACCAGCGGGTTGTGACCCCTGGTGGGGG